TTTTCGATTTGAGAGGTATGATTCCAGTAGTCTGCAAAAATTTCCTGGCAATAATTTACTAATTTTTAGAATGAGCCCTTCATGCCACACTTTGTCGAATGCTTGTGCGACATCCAGAAATACAGCGGAGCAGTATTTCTTTTCTTCAAATGCCTTTTCTATTATAGAAGTCACTCTATGTATTTGGTCAATGGTTGAGTGTTGATTACGGAAACCAAATGATGATCCGGAATCTGTAGTAATGGTTTGAGTCGTTTGTACAGTAACTTTTCAAATAATTTTGATATCACCGGAAGTAGGGATATTAATCTGTATGATTTTACTTCTTCAGCCGGTTTGTTGGGTTGTTAATCATTATTATTTGAGCTATTTTGAAGCACTCTGGTATATGTTCTAATCTAAGACAAGCGTTGAAATATATGTGATCAGTACTATTGCCTTTCTTGATAGTTCTTTGATCAAACTGGGTGATATTTGATCTATGCCTGGCGCTTTTTTGGGGTTCATATTTTTATCAATTTCTTGTGCAATTTCGAAAGGTGTAAACAGTTTGATTTTTACATCTTCGTGGAATATCCTGTCGTGTCAATACTGGACTGAGTGTCGTTGGTTTGAAAAACCTTATGCAGGTGCCGAGCGAACAGTTCGGCTTTTTCTTCATCACGGTGTATCCACTTCCCCTTCCCCCCCTCATCTTTGAGTGGTGGTATCCTGATAATTGGACGTTTAAGTCTTCGAGTTGCCTTCCACAGAGAATAGTTTTTGTCCGTTTCTGCAGAGAGGTTACTTAGGTACTTTTGAAGCTTTTTTTTTGTTTTCCTTGATTAGTCTGTTTAGTTGATTATTGATACGATTAAAGGTATTTTTGTGCTCTGGATGTTTAGATTTTTGCCAGGTACGTCTTGCTCTTCTTCTGTTTTTAATCATGTCTCTAATCTCCTCTGGGTAGCATATTTCCTGCGTTATAATGTTACTTGTGCTGGTATTGAGCTTCTCGCAGCACTACAGATATAGTCGACCATGTTTTGCGCTTGTTCATCTAGCTCTTCCACAGATTTAAGCCTAACTTTCAGGTTTATTGTTAGATCAAGCTCCTCTCTAAATTTGTCCCAGTCCGTATGTTTGCTGGTAAGTGTAGTTCTTTTTTCCTTTCGAATAACAGTAAAACTCAGCGTGAGTAAAACCGGCACATGGTCTGAGGAGAGGTCATCTATATTCTCAACTTCGAAATAGTTTGTTGATATACCTTTAGTGATGTAGAAATCTAACAGGTCAGGTACTCTGTTTCTATCCGTCGGCCAATATGTTGGTTTCCGTGACGATCTGACATCCCATTTACAGGCTTCAGTTGCTTTGTGCAATTCCCTACCTTTGGGAGTGATTAAGCGGGAGCCCCATGCCGTGTGTTTAGCATTAAAGTCCCCCCCGGCTATGAATCGCGATCCAAGCTTTCCTATTTCTTCTTCAAACTGCTTTTTCTTGATATTATGTCGAGGTGGGCAATATATGCTGCTATTTTGAGGTCTGAGTTATTGTGTTGGACCGTAATAACAGTAGCTTGCAGATAATCCCTTCTGATTTCCTCATGCGGACAAAACTTTACATTGTTTTTAACAACGATAGCTGTACCAGCATGAGCTTTACCACTAGGGTGCGTCGTGTGATACACCGTGAATCTTCAAGTAATTTTTATTAGTAAAGTGGGTTTCAGATATTATGCTATATCTATATTTTTATAATTTAGTATGTTTCTAGCTCCCTACTACGCAGTGCCAGCCATTCGCATTCCAAGTTATAATTCTAAACGATGTGTCTGTCATTATTTTTATAACATTGGTCATGTTTTTGGACTCTGCTGGTTTCTCTCTTCCAGCACTTCCAATCTGTGTTCAGTGCTATTACACATATACTGGATTTCTGGAGTAGGTCCCACACGTCCTGGATCGTTGGTTCATTTAGTTTAGCTTGTGTTTCCATATACTCCCATTTGTTGGATGCGTACATTTCGCGCTTGCTACTTCAGCATAGGATTCAGAAGGTTTTTTAGCGAACATGTGGTCGTTTTGATATATACGTTGCGTAACGGTCATTTTAGTTTTTTGCTGAGACGCTATCTTTTCTCTGTAGACTGGGCATCCCTTTCAGTTCGCCGTATGTTCTGATCCGCAGTTAGCACATTTACATTTTGTATTTTTGGCTTTTTGCATTCATCAGCAGAGTAGTGATTAGCTCCACATTTGACACATTTAGGTTCTTTTGGCAGTAATTTTGGGTATGCCCAAATCCTTGGCATCTCTTACATTGCGGAATCTCTTTTTTAACTCTCGGTGGCTCAATTTTGATTTTGCAGTATAACATATGTTTCAGTTCATAGATATCTTTGTTATTAGGCTTGACAACTAAATCAATATAAAACAGTGGTAGCGCTATTTTAGTCGGTATCTCATTAATTTTCTTTTGATGATTACGTTTGTTACTCGAACGGCCTCATGTCCCAATTTCGCTAGCTCATTCTTAATCTCTTTTTCGTTAGTTGTGGAGATCTCTTACTCTCTTATTACTATATTTATAAGTTTAGATTGTTTGCACTGAAATGTATAGTAAGTTACTTCTTTTAGGGGATGATTTTCCTGCGTTTTAATTACTTTTAGTAGCTTGATAATCGCCCGATAGTCTTCCTCATCTATAGTATTTACTTTTATTTCGCTACTGGCTAGCGTTTTAAAATTTACATCGTGTTTAATCTTTTGCATAATTAGATCTTTAATCATGTTAAAGTTTTTGACTTCGTTTATGAATATCGGCAGGGGGATACTCCTTTTTCAGCCTTAGCTTCTCTCGTTTCTTGTTGTGCGGATATCTCAGGCGATGAGATGGCTTTTCTTTTCTTGTATTTCGCGCCCTTAACTATTTCCCACTCTAGTTGCTCTTCATCCGTCTCGTAAACGATTTTTTTCTCTTCGCTTTCTTTATTTTGTAGTTTTCTAATTGTTGTTTCCAGATAGTTAATTTTATCTTCCGCTCGTCTCCATGCTTTCCACAATAACATTTCATAACAAAATAGAAATAGAAAAAAAATTAGAATTATATTAATTCATGGCATTAGAAGTGTTCAAAATAAAATATATAATGTTAAAACATAAATTAGCAATAATTAAATATTAAACGGCAAACATTAGAAGTAAGAAACGTTAAACAAGACAAAGAACAAGGAAATCTTTAGTATAATATAGAAGATCATTCTTCATGGTACATCTGCTCAATGCAACAGTTTAAAATATTGCATAATATATTACGATGAGGTTCTAATATTATACAATTGATGTGGCAATTTTTATATCGTAAATTATAAAAAATGATTTTTGAACATAATAACATACATTTAATTGTCATTTACTAAAATAAAATTAAATAATAAATAAATAGTATATAAATATATACTTTATATACCAAAATATTATCAATACATATTAAATAAGAGCTGCATTTATAATAGATATAACATTTGATATATATACATGAAATTTTTCTCAATACAATAAAGAAGCTTATTTGACATTGAATTTATTATTTTATATAATTTTTAGTTTTATAAGTCATACACGCAATGGAATTATTAAAAAATAGATGATCGAACAGTAATGTCGATATCATTATTGTACTTCCTTATTACAATAAAGAAACGTAATAAAAAAAGACAGAATGTGTATTTATTGGAAGATTAGCCATTATATATATGTATTTTTTCTTCTCTCGTATTTTTATTTTTGGCACTTATGATTCCTCAAACGGGTTAGATACAGACACTCTTAATATAATCTTTTGTGATATAACAAACTTGTTATGAAAGCACAAATATCAATGATATTAATCAAATACGAAATCTGAAATACAAAGTCTGAAATTAGGTTATGCGTCGCTCTGGCGAGTGTCCGCAGCAGTGACGAATTCGAAGTTGACAAATCAATATATTTGTTATAAGCTCAAAGGTATGTGCGAATTAAATCCTTTCTGCGGAAACTAAATGTATTTCAACTATAAATACCTACCTCAGATATAATAAAATACTACAGATGATATACGCATTTCGACACTCTGCGTCACACTTTGGTATCATCGCAATGGACCGTACACGTATTTATTGTTTACTTGTCAGCTTAGGGTAGAAGCATCGATGCAAGCGCCATGATGCGATATATATATAGTCAAAACAGTGATATATATATATAGCCAAATTCAAAACCAATATATAAATTATTCAAAGAACAAATTATAAACGTTATAGATTATAGTAATACTTGATTTTCATGAAACGCATATACGTATATCTACTTTCAAAATTAATTCCTCTCCAATTTGTCAATAAATAATTTTTTTTAAATTTATTTATATATATTAAAAATTTCAAATATATGTAAGTGCTCGATTTATGGAACTTCAATGGAGCGAGGGTTCGGTTTAAGAATCAACACGCATGATGCAGTAAACAACTGTAATAGTAATAATATGTACACATTAACAAATGCCAGAAACATTACAGTAAGCGAGTGAACCAAAGACTAACCTGAATCAATACAATTGTCGATGGCAAACCTTTATCTATCTCCGTACGATATCATCGATACTCTCAGCTCGGAGTCTTGTTACCTACTGCCTCTCATGCGCGAGTCTACAAGCCGCGGCAAGGTCGAGCTTGATAACCAACAAGCTTACATCCCCCCCTTTTTAAGACCGGGGATACACTCCTTGGGATTGATGAACAAGCTTGCTAGCATGAAAAATATTTGACTCCTTTTTTCTAAATCTACTATCTAACAAAAACATTACATCAGAAATTTTCTCTTTAATTTTAAACGGACCTACTCTAATTGGATCTATTTTATTTTTGTTCAATTTATTAACGCTTTGTACATAAACTAAATCTCCTACTTTATAATCTATCTGTTTTACGTTCTTATTGTAATATTCCTTATTTCGATTGTGAATTTCTTTTGAATTTTTAAAAGCTATTTTCCTGTTGTTACTTCAATATTGCTCCAACTCCTTCAATGCTTGCATCAGTGAAGATAAATATTGGGGCCTCTGGATCAAAAATTGCCAAAGCGGGAGCTGTGCACAAATATTCTTTTGTCGAATTAAAACTATTCCTACACTCTTCGGTCCAATCGAGGGGTACATTCTTTCTTAACAGATTTCTCAAAGGATCTAATAAGACAACATGATTTGGTATAAACTCCAAATAAAAATTGATCTTCCCTAAAAATTGTCTAACTTGTGTTTTTGTTTTGGGTGTGGAAAACTTCTTGATAGCCACTAAATTATCATTTATTGGTTTAATCATATTGCTTCCAATTTCGTGTCCCAAATATGTTATCTTTTCTTGGGCGAACTTACATTTATTTTTATTCAATTTAAAACCTTATTTATATAGTATTTGCAGTACTTGCTCTACATGATATACATGCTCTTCGTAAGTCTTAGAGAACACTAATATATCGTCTATATAATTTACTGTGAAAACGTCTAACTTGTTTTTTCTTATCACACCTGCTAAACTCTTTGAAAAATAGCGGGAGCAGATTTCAACCCAAAGGGTAAACGTCTCCACTGCCAGTGTCCGTGATGTGTCACGAAAGCCAACTTATATCTATCCTTTGCACGCACCGGAATCGACCAGAACGCCGAATTCACATCCAATTTTAAGAAAAACTTACAATTTCTGGCGCGTATAGTAAGATCATCTATTCTTGGAAAGGGCTGACTTTCTGGCACTACTATTTTGTTGAGCTCTTTAAAATCAATACACAAGCGTGTTCTTTTTCCTTCTTCTTTCTTGAGAACCATGGTTACGGGAGCTGCATAAGGACTGCTTGACTCCTCTATTAGACCTGCATTTAATAAATCTTCTACTTGTTTCTCGATTTCTAATTTATCTTGAAACGAGCATCTATAGGGTTTCTTTGAAACATATCTATTTTCTGTCAGTTTCACTGTGGCTTCATAATCCTTTACTGATCCTATATCAAACTTTGATTTGGCAAAGATTATCTCGTTTTTTTTTATAATATTCTCCATTTTAGTAGTGCTTATTTCATTAGTGTTATTTTGCTTATCTGAAATTTTTTTTTTGTTTGTTTCTGTGATATGGTCAAATTTTCATCCTGGCAGAGTTTGAATTTTTTTATTGAGTCTAATCCTAGTAGAAATTCACAATCAATGCCTTCCTTAACTATGAAAAACTGAAAATCCTCTTCTATATTACAAATTTTAATACGTATTGTTATAATCCCTTCCGTTTTCGTCGTTCCAGCTACACCTTTAATGGTATCTCTCCCACCTATTATTTGTTTGATATTTCTTTTATTGTTCAAAAATGTACTACTAACTAGAGAGACATTGGATCCGGAGTCATAAAGACCAATTGCTGGGCAACCATTTGCAAAAATCTTAATTTTAATAAGTGGGAGGACTATTCGTTTTTTGTCTCCTCATGGCTTGCTACTACTTCTTGTATTTCATTATTATTTGTAACCTTGATGTTTTCGTTTTTTAAGTTTTTAGTTTGTCTATCTTTATTACGGCATGCGCTTTCTAAATGAAATCTATTTTTGAAACCTAACCTATTACAAATGCTACATGGTCTTTTTTCGTTTAAAATTCTCTTGTTTACATTATCATTTTTTTATTCGTTAATCTTACCGAGTTGTTTTAATTTTGCCATTAAGTTTTCTATATTTATAATAGATTTTCTATCTATCTTATTTTGGATAAAATTTGGTAAGCTAATAACGATCATGTTGATTTGTGTGTTTATAGATAAGCTATCATCCGCTTCTAACAATAATCTTTTTTCTTTAACGCATATTCTAATAGCGAGCCATTATAGAACTTAAAGTTATACGCATACGTTATATCTGTCCAAGACTGTGCAGAGAAGGTATCAATAAAGGCGTTATTCCATGCCTCCCAATTTAGCAAAGAGTTCTGCATGATAAATACATTATACCAATCTAGTGCAGATTTCTCTAAAAACAATCTTAATACTTCAGCGTATTTGTTTTGGGCAATCCCCACTCTGTCACACTCCTGCACAAATAAATTAATCCAGACCGTCGCATTTATGCTTTCGCCGTTGAATTTTTCAATCACTATGTCCTTTATCAGAGAGCTTGTTTTTCTTTCGAATGTTCCTGCTGACTCACTGTTTACATTCGACTCTTGCTCGGTAACCTCTTCCAAATATTCGTCGTGCAACACAACATTGCCTTCAGTGTCCCGATAAATATTCTCAAGTTCCTTAGATAGTGTCAGCACCACATTGCGAAATTTATTGCGAACCTTTAAACTTTTAACGACATTTTTCACAATTGGATTTTCAAAAAGCTGTTTATGATGAGCACTAGTCTGCTTATCTGCTGGAAATAAAAAACTTTCCTCTTGAGCAAGCAGCTGAATTCTTTTAACTTTAACTACAGAACTTTTCGTGTCTGCACCAGCCTCCGAGACAAAATAAAACTTTGCTTTATTCTCCATTGTATTGATTTGTAAGCGCTCGATTTATGGAACTCCAATGGAGCGAGGGTTCGGTTTAAGAATCAACACGCATGATGCAGTAAACAACTGTAAATAGTAATAATATGTACACATTAACAAATGCCAGAAACATTACAGTAAGCGAGTGAACCAAAGACTAACCTGAATCAATACAATTGTCGATGGCAAACCTTTATCTATCTCCGTACGATATCATCAATACTCTCAGCTCGGAGTCTTGTTACCTACTGCCTCTCATGCGCGAGTCTACAAGCCGCGGCAAGGTCGAGCTTGATAACCAACAAGCTTACATATATATATATATATTCTAGATTTTGTAATTACTAAAAATATGATCTTATTAATAGTTATAAAATCTAACATGTGTTTTAATACAATAAATTGGACGACAATTAAAAAAAAACTTATTTATTAACAAGTTCTAAAAATCAGAGCAGACGTCTAAATTGTTATTATTTCTAGACGTACATTTAGATTAGACGTAATCTAGATTTTTTCGACGTCGGTTAGATGTTGAATCGACATCAGCGTTCTGGCTGGGTTATTCACAGCGACAGTTATTTTTCTTCGCAAACTCACAGAGGCAACCATAAATTAGCAATAAATAGTTTATGAGAATGTATTTTTATAAATTATAGAAATTATATTTATAAATATAATTTATAATTATATAATATATATAATTATAATATATATATTATGTGACAATAAATATACATATAATTTATATGGAAAAGTAATGTTTTTAATGCATGAAAAATAAAACTAGTCGGACAAAAAAAATTATTGATCAGATACCGAGGTTAATAGATCCAATTCTATGAATAAACTTGAATTTTAAGAAAATAGTCGTTTTTTATAATAAAGTAAACAAATTTTAAATGATAAAGAACGTTTTTATACAAATATACATTTTTTTTGTTAAAAGTTTTATAAATGAAACATTTATATGTTATTATATTTTATTTATACATTTTTGCAGATAACATCCTTGCTCATGTACAACATACATTACATACTTGAAAGAAATAGAGTATTTTACTAATCAAAATATTCTGTTTTATAATATTTAATTTCTTAAAGTATAAAGTAAATGTAATACACATTGTCTTACATTATTAAGTCATTATATATATGTATATGGAAATATTACATAAAATACCGTACATAATTATTGCATACAAGAATAACAAATATTCATGGTTGATATCGGTTACAAAGATGATGATCATGAAAGAAATGATTTATACAAAGGGATTTTTTACACCATGCGCAAGAAATTACAGCAATTTTACCGCAAATATCACATGTTGGTTTTAAATTAGTTTTGAAACAAAAATCTACTGGTGTATCAAATTCTTCTGGTTTTTTTTCTAAATAACCACTTTTATACCATGCATATTTGAATAAATTTTTAAACCTTGGTGATGAAAATTGATTATGTGTTAATGATTGTAATTTTAAAATATTGTTTCTTGAATGAAGCTTGACGTCAAGATCTAAAAGCATGATGGTATCTGAAAAATGTCTAACAAAATTTTTTCATAAACGAAAACCGAATACATCTAAAGGTTGTATTTTTCCCGTTGCTCCAGCTGGTATAGTTAACAAATTAATATTGTCTATAAAATCTGGTTTGTTTCTTTGAATTATATCAGGACAATGACCAGTTTAAGAATCTAATAATAACACTGATTTTGGTCCAACATTTGGAAAAAACACTTCTTTTATCCAGATCTCAAAATGATGCGATGTTAATTTTCCAGATTTTGATGCCATGACAAAGATATTATTATCTTTAAACATTGTTTCTTTTACTATTGGACCAAATGTTCCAGTAGGTTCTTTTAAAACAATAAACAGAGGCGATAATAATCTACCATCAGCTGAAACAATAGGTTGTATAGTATAACTATGTGTAGTTGCTGATATGGATTGTACTATGCGCTCTATTTTTTTAATACCAATAGGTGATAGTGAACGACCGGAATGAAATTCTAATTGAAATCCACTTTGGTCCGAATTATATACATTTTCAATTCCATATTGTATAATAAAAGATTTAACATTTTCGATAAATGACTTGCTTCGTGCTTCTAAATCTTTGTCTGACGCTAAATGTTTTTTTGTTATAAATTTTGTAATTTTTCTAGATACGATATTATGTGCAAGCTTAAACTTTTTTACCCGTGATAATGATGCTGTAAACCCAAGTAGATTTACTTCCTTCTGTACGCGAATAGCCCATCGAGCAATATCAATGTCATGAATAATTATTCCCTTTTCAATACCTTCATGGAATTTATTTAACGTATATGTTGAAATTTCTTCCGGTTTATCAAATCTGCTGCCACCTTGATTTACTTGCTGCTCCCATCTTCTTAATTGACGTAATGACGTGACTTTCCGAAATCTATTTCTTATAGATGCAAGAGTTCTTGACTTTTTTGTTCCACTTCTCCATAACTCTACTGCATTTCTTTTATATTCTATTGGTACACAATCCGCAACACATTCAATTTCTTTTACAAAATATGTGTCATCTTCTCTTTCTTCATAAATTACAGGTTCTACTTCAGGTATATCAAATTCGTTTTGAAAATCTAATGATGATTCTTCATAAACTTCAAACTCTTCTTCATACATTGATCGAAACATATTTTCCATCATGTCTTTTGTTTCATTTTCATCTGTTGTAACAGGACTTTCTGGGAATTCCCCAGTCATATACAGTGCAGTGTATAGCAGTACTGCTACATTTCTTGGATTAAACATTATCTAAAAAAATTATTAACATTATGTATATTTGTTTTATAAATATTAGCAAAAAATACTTATTAGCAACAAAAATATTTTATTATTTAATGCGTATTAATAATTTGTTACGTTTTCCGAGTTTCATGAAAAATAGAACACTGTTTTATCACATAATTTATAATAACTTAAATAAAGTAATAAAATATTAATTATAATTTAAATACATTAAAACAAAAC